CCGCAAATTTTTTAGCTATAAAAAAAGTTCTAGAACTTTAGCGAGAAAGTTTTCTAGGTGAAAAGCCAAGCAAATAGAGTTGTAAAATACATCATGCACTCTGAAGAAAAAAAAACTTAAATCGCTGTTGTACCTCACTAGAGAAGCGTTTTTGAGCACAGACTATACTATGAGAACCGCAAATTCTTCAGCTATCAAGCGACTATTGAAAGTCCGATGAACTCTTTGTGCTCGACGAGATAATTACGAAAAGGCTCATGTACGTGGTCCTCAAAGAGTTAAAGACTCCTGTTTCGACCTTCCCACCTCGTCAGAGGCACAATGCTTTTTCGTTTAGTCACTTCTTCGAAGATTTACTACATACATAGAGTAGTTGAGGGCGAACGTTCAATACGCTCAAATAAGTAATAAAAGCACCGAAGGAGCAGTGTTCTACGCTCGGTCGCTCTTGGCTGCTAATCGTGAGATATCATACCTTGCGTTTTGACTGTTCCATGAGACGACGCTCAAATTTTGATATCGTCGTCAATACCTCTGTATAATGATAGATCACCGAGGATCTGACTGAACGAAACGACATTGTGCAACTGACAAGGCTGCAGGGCCAAAACACGTGCTTTGCAGTATACAAGTGCCCATAAGAGACGACATGCGTGGATCAGAAAAGATTGCTAGACATATTAAAATGTGAGCGTGTTCGCAAGTAACACTCACAACGAAAAGTATGGTATTAAAGAGTCGATAGGCTTGACTCTTAATACGTTTTAACCGATCATCGATGGATGAAAGCCATTACCGACTGCTTTTTTGGGATGTCGGTCACAATAAGGAAAGATCACAGACGCGATGTTTCAGTTTCTTTACAAAAAGCCAATGATCTGTTTCTCAAGGGTTGTCATTTTACATTCTCAATAACTTTGAGTACATTTAAGTCGATTAAGAAAAATTATACGTATTTGTACTACATTACTCACAAAGCAACAACAATATTTTTTCTTGAATTTTTCATTCCGCAAACACGAGGTTGCTAATACACCTTCATCTTGTATATTATCGTGTAATGGAGATCATATCACTGGTAAAGATCTGGCGATTCGGCCTTCTTCAGAACCTGAAAGAGCCAAATTGACGCGTAATCCGCATAGTCAAAACAAAAACGTAAAAGTTAAATCCTACATAGTCAGCCTCTATCAAATACTCACCGTAATTCGTTGATTTGAAGTCTACTTGTCAATATGTCAACCTGCCGCACCGAGTGATACAGGGCGAGGAATGTGCTCGTTTGGATCCACAAAAATTGATCCGAGATATGGTACAACATCACACTTGATGACAAGAATTCATATTTTTGATTTGTATTTAGATTTCTGATATGATCCAATGCGCTTCGAAAATTTTTAGCTCTGAGCTTTTTTCCTCCTGTGCGGAGATGGTTATATCTATTCCATGACCTACCTCTTTAGGCATTTGTACCCTTTGCGTACCTAGTGATGTTTTTAAATCAGCTAGCTTTTTCCTTGTTATTTAGGTGTGTTTAGCCAATATATTCGCCACCGCACGTTTTACAAGGAATTATGCAGACTGAATCTATACCCATTCAGTCACCTCTGCCGTTAGAGCATGTTTGGCATTAATTCGTTTAACAGAGAAGATCGAATATGCAGTCGCGAACTTGATGGCTTTTTTAGAGCATACGGTGTGCTTCAAAAATTCTCAAGTATTTCTCTGACTATGCCCTATTTAAACAAAGTTCTGTGCTATCCTTATGTCGCTTGAAAATGAAGGAAGACTCATGGCACCTCGCTTATATGAACTTTGAGATAAGCTCCGTAAGAAGGCCGAGGCTGAAGAAGTCAATGGGAATGACAGCAGGAACTGGAAGCATCATAATTGCCTTGGCTATTCTCTTAGCCATTCTGCAGACAAAAATACCGCCTCTATGAAGTTGGTAGAAAATCTCGAAAATTTTCAGACGAAACTTATAAAGTCTTCAATCATTGTTGCGCCAGAAGGCACCACTGAAACCTCAGCAAGTTACAAAAGCATGCAATGAGAGAAAATTGAAAGCTAGTAAGGTTGAAAGACATTAGATTATGCGTTAGTGATCGATACTTCGCTTTATCACTCATCTTATCAGCCAGGAATTTGAGAGTCAATACCGTAAACTAAACAATTTTGCCTAATAATCATTTTTTGAGCCATGCACGTGGTCTCTTATAGAGCAACTTATAGAACCCGATACACGTGCTTCGACCTTAACAATGTCGTCAGTCGGGCAGAATCCTTCGCCTTTAACCAGTGTTCTCTGAACCCCAAGCCAAGAGCAGTCGAGCGTAAAACACTGGCGTTTAGCGACATTCAACTTTAAGAATAATAATAATATTAAAAATAATATTAATTTTTTTAACATTCAATTTAATGACAAAACTTTTAGCATTGATCAATCATTGAGGGATGCACCATGCGTTAGTCTTCAAATCTAAACTTCGTTTTGAGGCCACTGAATACACATCTGGCCTTTGCAATGGCTCACCTGCTGTTGTATCGAGTCAGTACTTTCTATCCTCTCAGGCACGTCTGCGACCAGTTTGGTACTAATTCACAGACTCCGGAAAGATAGACGGCTTGGTGAGCCATGAAGGCGGATCGAATCATCGTCTTGTGTGCGACGCAGAGTACTTCTAACCTTTGCGCCACATGCTCTTTAACTTGAAATATAGATCATTATAATACTGATGTTGTCTTGAATTATCTGCCTAACGCAAGATCGCCGAGAAAACTTTATCGTAAACCTTCGATGACTTCGTCACAAAGATCCGATGTATCAAGTTGATTCCTAACAACTGTTTGTGTTAGCGTTATGGCTCTTCCTAGCCGCTTCAAAATGAATCCTCTTCAGTAGAGCATAACTCTGATCATTTGACCCCACTCGTAGATGTTCTTTTGATTTGAATGCTTGTCATGAGAACTGTTCAGTTGCTCACTTAACCGTTTTGTTGCTTATCGTTTGTTCTTCTATCTTTTATTGATTTATCAGCACCCGCATAGCATCTCACATGATTCAGGGATAAGCTTTGCCCAGGTGAGATAAATTCATTCAGAGATATGGTATGAGGTTGCACCAGATCACATCACTCTCCTTGCTGCTCATTTACAGATTTTGAGAATTCAGCTAAATCTATCGCATGGATACTGGCTTACCTTTGAAATTTCTTCGTTATCTCCTTGTGCCTGTTACGTGTGTAATGGGGGGTTTTGTTTGACTCTCTTTCCAACTTGATGTTCCTTTGTAATGGCGCAAATTGGTCTATCTCTTAAGCCGCTGTGTTTGCCTTTGCATGTTCCACAAGAAAGTAGGTAAATCACACTCAGACCTGTGCGATCACCGTCTCCATAGTTCGCACAAATGATGCAATTTTGCGTTATGTATAAACTGTTATGAGATTGATTATAGAGCATGAGGTACTTTAGAGTTTTTGGTGTATTTCCGCTACTTCTACCGATATCTGAGGAGCGTGAATCCTAAAATTCATCAATTTTACTTAGCTTACTACATCCTTAAAATTATGTATACGCTTTTATCTAGTTTTATCGCGCTCGGCTGAACAAATTTACCTCTCTATAATTAAGAGGTTTTGGAAAATTGCAAAAGTCCTTTGAGATGGCAATTGCATCTGGACTTTGTTTTTATAAAGTCGGTAAGAGATTGGAAACGTAAGAACATGTGCCTCGGTGGTGTAGTGGTTAGAGCACGCGTTCCCGGATAGGATGAAACGCGGGTTCGATTCCCGCCTGAGGCCGAGTTTTTGCTCACCACTCAGTTCTCTTAAGTATATAGAATACATCATAACAATGCGAAATGCATTAAAATACTATCAATTCCGAGTATTAGTAAACGTGAGAGTTAAAACCTGCTTTAAACATGGAATGGATTGACTCAGCGATAAAAACTCACTGTGTTGATTTATACCGCTTTCACAAATGTTTTGTGATTTTGCAAATATTCATTTACAATTGAACTACATAGGTTAAGTCTTTTTAGTTATTTTGGTGTAACTAAGATATGCATCTGTGTTGTTTACTGGAGCGCTTGCCATCAAATGAACACATTTGAAAGAGGGTGCGCTTTGTGATTTATCAAGTGTAGAAAAGACGCTTTCTGACTTGACTTCTCCTTACACATATCTGTTTTTGACCAGATATGATTACTTCGTCTATCAAAACACGTTGCAGCAACGGTTCACGGAGGCGCTGCTACTTTTTGGGTGGGAGCCGCGGGACCCGGGGCAAGTAGCTGATGCGCTCCATAGCCAATAGTCCTTCAAAAAGCGCGACCACGGCAGCTACCGTTCCTTCATCGTGGCGTAGGGCAATTCAGCATGATGCCCGCTCTTTGAGTAATCGCTGTCGTCACTTATCCATTGCGATCTTGTCATTTTACTGCTAGTCGTTTCGTTTGTGCCCTCTTGACGTCAGTCACTTGCAAAGCTCATCTCACTGGCAGCGGACCAAGTCCTTATGGGTTCTGTTTGACTCGCCACCGGGGATGGGTTCCAATCCATGTATATAATCCCTCAGATTCATTCCGACGTATATAACCAGCCGATGCTCCCACCCTCGGTGTTTAGGTCTTGTTCGGGGCAAGCATAACTGCATCCCAAGCTCCGCCGCCTAGCCAGACCCTACAGTCTCAGTTCCTTCACTCGCACATCGATCCTCAATCATATCGGTTCACTTTATCAGTTCGCGCCTACCAACATCACAGTATTATCTTGGTGATGCAGTTAGGTGTCGTTACTATTGTTATGCTCTTATTGTATTATTATTGTACCGATGTATATATTCTTAGGTTGTCTTATATCCTTTGTAATGAACTAATCTCTACTCGAGACTTCGACTTCACAGGCCATCAGCGGCAGCAGGGCTTAATAAATCACTAGAGCAAGCCCAAGTCAGTGATTATGGAAGTAGAGGTAACGGCAATCAAAGGCCGTGTTCATTGTACTTCGGCCGGGAATCTAACCCGGGTCTCCGCATGGCAGGTGAGCATCAACCACTGAATCACCGTTGCGATGAGAGCGTATTTTGATCTAACGGGTTCGAAATAGGCTTCTCGATTTTCGAAATTCATAATGAAATTTATATGTGCACCAACTAAGTCCGAACGGAAGACATATCAATAGACGAAGTAGTCTTCTTCCACATCAAGACAGTTCTTGGTCATCCGGTCTTTTTTGTTACGGAATGTCTTGAACCAATGCTGAGCTGTACGAACAATGCAAATTTCGCCACCACAGGCCTTGCAGATTTTCCGATGAGCCTTAGAAGCGCTAACACGCAATTCGTAGAGGAAATGGAGCAGCGACAAATTTCTTTCTTGGTCAATTCATTCCAAAGGCTAAATAAACAAATGTTATATCGTCCGCTATGCGCAAAAAACGAGCTTCCAGATAAGTTCAATTGCGCACGAAATACATATGTCAAAGCAATTTCTCAGGTAAAGCGAAGTTTTTTTTGCAATCTACTAAAAGTGAAGATAAACGTTTTTAGGTAGTCGTCAAATGAAACACTGAATCGAAATTCATCTCGTTGACAAAGGTAGTTCAATGCTTGAATCTGAATAGGCAATATGCGAGTAGCTCGCAGGTTAATGCCATTATAAAATTACATTTATCAGTGGTAAAAAGAAAACATTTGCTTCAAAAGAATCACGTTTCAATAGTTTTCGAGGGCAGTTGCAGTTGTCGTGAAGAAAAGTCGTTTAAGTACACGAATGCCAACATTTGAACGGCTCTGATCCCAACACTGCCATATTGCTGATGGCCAATTCGCCTTGATCATGTTTGTGGTCTACATAGGTTTTTTCTCTCTTGAAAAATGATTGGTACGAGAACAAAAATTTTTGAACCGTGACATGTCCTGAGATGCTCCTTTTGTGTTGATTATCCCACACGCCGTGTTGTTGTGTAAGGCGGTGAAAATTCCTGTCATGATGCTGCCGATTATGATCCAGTAAGTGGTCTTTTCTGTGGCTGCAAAAAACTTTGAGTCTTATGACGATTTCCATCCTTAAAATAAAAATTGATTAAGTTGGAAATAATTTTGAACACTGATTCCATTTACTCTGTGAGACCCTCTCCAAACATCACCTGGTACTCCAATTACTGTGATTTTCCATGAAAAAATATTACAAAAAATCCTTTATGAAATATCATCGATTATGAAGTCTACGTTCTGGAGAGATCATGTTATATACCCAATGATGTAGAGTGATGCACAAAACTTTTGCTCTTGGAAGGAGTTAAACCCCCATTCCGCTCTATCCGAGGGTGCGTACCCTAACCCGTTGCAATATCGACGCTTGTTCTGCCACTCTACACTATAATACACCTATCTGTCAGCAACTAATCGCCAGCGGTTTGGCCTGTGCAGTCAATATCGACATTGAGCCCAGTCATGTTAGCAGATATTGAGTGTGGATGATATACTATGAAATATCTCTTATACTGTAAAACATTTTCTAGTGATTTTCTAGAATATATTTGTTTTTTCATCTAAAAATAGCTCTTAAATGCCCACCTGTTTCGATTTTTATTACAACGCTCTTTGAGGTACTTCAAATGGTCGTACAACTTAAGAAGTCACTATTGTAATTACCTGGAGTAACAGCGCACTGGCAAATCCATAGCTGGTAAGTAATTTTGACATTAAGTTGACTCAGAATAAAGTACATTATACAGTCAGAAAAAAAAAAGCGCTACGACCTTAATGATCGACAGTATCAAAGACCTGAAGAACAAATTCTTTCGCTAGTTGGCGCAGTTTATTTGGGTGGGCACCTGGTGAAATTATGTTCAGCAATGCATTTCATAGAAGCACCAGGAGAACGAAGTATTCTCAAAAAATTCCGCCTCAACTGATCCAGAGCTAACTCATATATCTTGAAATCTCAAAGTTACAAACTCATTGTCTGCATAACTCCACGTACAACAAACGGCTGAGCTTTCCGCTCGCTAGTTGATATGCCAGAGAACGAAAAGCTATAAAGCTCTCGCTAGTGCATGCCATAGACAGTTGTGAAATCAGTAACAGTGAACTTCTTAGTTTCTGCAGTGATAAAGTAAAAACAAATTCTTTATGTACAGACTTTTTACTGATCTTTCTCTTCCAAAAAAATGAAATCCTTTTGAATGGTAAGAGTTTAATCAATTGTGATAGTGATCATGGTAGTGATGGTGATAATGATGGTAGAAGTAATAATGGTAATGGCAGTGGTAATGATAATGATAATGATAGTGAGAGTGATAGTAATGATGATAGTGAAAGTGGTAATGATTATGATAATATTGGACGACAGTGGTAATGACAATGATAGCGATAATGGTAGTGATAACGTTAATGATAGTTACTGATTTTCTTCTTTGAGCAAAATAATAATAATAATAATAATAACAATAATAATAATAAATAATAATAATAATATAATAATAATATGATAATGATAGTGATAATGTTAATGATGATGATATTGGACATAATGATAGTAGTGATAGTGACGATAGTGGTATTGATGACATTGGTAGTGATGATAGGGATAATGATGATAGCGATAGTGATAGGGGTAATGTCAATGATAATGATAGTAGTGATAATGTTAATGATGGCGATAGTGATAATGTTGATGGCAATGATGGGAATGATAATGATAATGTTCAATAATGATGAGTCCCAATAGGATGAAAATTCGCCTGTACAGCACTAGACCTAATGGCTCAAAACATGTTATATCCTTCTTAGATAATGGTAAAGGTAATGATGATAGTGATAATATGGTGGTGAATTGGCAAGGATTACAGTAATGTAGAAGGTTCGCATATCAGATCAATCGAAAATTGCATTGTATTGCAATGTAGAAAATCGTTTTTGACAAACAAGCATTGTTTTGCAATTGTTTTCGCATAACCTTGTCGGGCGCACTGCCCTCTACCTTTGTTGTCATTCTCAATTTTCTCATAGTCTCAACCACTTACTGTAACGGTGGCGCCTCGTGCCGTGATGACGGTAGCGCTTATCATAGTGGAGACACAGGAAGCACAACCTTCTCGCAGAGAGTCGCAGATGCCCCGTCCCTCTAGTGCCGCGAAAGCGGCAACGCGGCGTCGCCTGCCTACCAACGGTGGTCCAAGGGCTAAATCAATATTTGCGACAAAAACAAAAAAATTCATGGCAACTTCTCGGAAAAACCCTCTCTGGCCTCTACACATTTGCAAAGTCGCGTACGAAAATTTCCAGCGATGCCCGCACACGCACATGTTTGTAGGATGAGAAGATATCCACAACCAAGGCAAATCACTGCACAATCGGCAGAATCGACATCAACTTCGTGAAAAGGGCCAGCAGAAAATCGTAGCAGCAAAAACCACGGGCCGCAATCATCTTTCACTTTTCGTGATGGTCTCGGCCAATATTTGAGCCACCGAAACGACGTCAATGCTGCTCATCAACGGAAAGGCCAAAATCAACGCTTGCAGCTATCAACAACAAGTTTTAAGGGACGTCTGGAGCCTCGGAATACTCATCACTTTAGCGCAAACGGATTTACCCTATAGCAGATTTGGGCTTCTCCGTATTCGACCCTTTCAACGATTCTATATGTCAAGAGCTGTTTCAAAGCTTTTGGGACAGGGATTTGGCCGTCGAAGCTGCCGGATCTGAACCCAATAGATTACTCCATGTGGCTCATAATAGAGAACAAAGTCCATTCTACTCATTGTACTACCGTAGTCACTCCTGAAACGACTTTGACAAGCGCTTGAGACGATATTACGGTGAAAACGTGTGCTAGAATTGTTGGCAATTTTTGCAGCAACTTCGTAAACGTGTAGAGTCAAAAAAGGCGATTTTAAGAATTTGCCGGAAACTTTTTGTACATTGTTGTAATTGTTGGTTCAATAAGCGCTATTAATCCTTCAACTGCATAATTTTATTTTTAGGCTGTATTTTTATACTGTTGAAATATATGAAAATTGACAGAGCTTTTTACGCAATCTGTATATATACATATATATATATATATATATATATACATATATATGTACATATATGGGTATATTGATATTACATGGATATATTTATGCATTTATAAATATACGTATATGTATGCGTATATAAATGCATATGTATATATGTATATATATATTTATATATATATATATATATATACATGTTTACATATATGTGCATATAATTATGAAAATGCTAGCTTCTGCCATCGTCTTTTTCCATTGCAAACATACGAATATTCAATTTTTCTCCATAAAATTAGTCTTTAAGAAGTCAGGAATGAACTAATGGAAACTTCAAAAATCTCTGTGAAAGTGATTATTTTGAATTTTTGCGCAAATTCAATAAATGTCCAGAAAAAGTCATGAGCTTCAAAAAGTTTCTAGAACTTAAGTTGAAGAGCGCTTGAACCTTTCGAAAATGAACCTTCTATGATGGAGAAGGCTTTAACCCTAGAGCACTAGAAGTTGTTCAAAAGCCTGAATGTGGCAGTTTCATACAGTTGTTTCGGTTATCGGGGAGAAAAAACCAGTGTCATTGTGCACTATGCCATCACCACATGCGCCTCCCTCCTTGCTACAATGCAGAGCATAATGTGGGGCGGGGGTCATTCATTAGGAGGCCGAAACCTCCGAAACACCGGTGTATGGCCCTGGAGTACCAACCTCGTTTAGGCTTGATACATTCTTTTTTGAAGTTATTTTGAATGTTTATCACAAGGTTTTAAAAACAGTCGATCATATGGAGTATTAACAATCAATCGGAAGTTCAAGTCTTTAGTTAGCGCCCTACACGGCCGTTTTTCTTTTTCGAAAAAATTTTTTAGTAACGCTGTAGCATCCAGAGTAAAATTATGCTTCACATGCAGCAAGCGCTTTTCCTTTTACTCGTTTATATTTCTTTGGACAAATCTTTCCTTAGAACGTTAATGCTCTTTCGGTATAATAAGTCTCAACAAACTCAGAAATGTGCTTGCATCGTGGAGAAACTCATCTGATAGTGGTGAAG